CCCGCCGTGTCAGCGCGTCCCGCTGTCAGCGGAGCCGGAGCTGGGGCGCGGTGGCAGCGTCCCCGCCAGCACCCGGCGGGCAGCGATTCGCGTCCTTCTGTAGCTGTTATTTAAAACACAGTTGGGTGTCTTGGTTACGAGCCGGTGCAAACGCTCTTCAAAAATGAATCTCTACAGGAGAGGCAGGATTTATTTATATAATACTGACCCCCTGCTATGATTCTTTAATTAGGAAAAATCAAATACGCTAATGCAGAATGTGTTAAAAAGTGACACACATCTTTCAGAGGGGAGTTTCTGCGCCATTTCAGAGTTGGAAGCGGGGCAGAAAGCGTGGCGAGCGTGGTTAGAAACTTGGCCATAGCTCTCCTGTGAGCAGCTGTTAGCAGGAGGCAGGAGCAGGCACCTGGCCCTGGCCGCGGCGTTGGCCGTGGAAGGAGATCCCGGAGGATTCAGGCTGGTCAAGGCGAAACCACGGCCCAGAACCGTTGTGAAATAAAGGGCCCAGCAGCTCAGCCGAGGCGGAGGTAAAGCCGCTTCAGACTCCCGTTTCTGTTGCTCTGCGCTTGCGGTTTGGAGAACAAACATTCCTTTTTGGGAACTACAAGTCCCAAAGTGCATTGTGGGAAGAACGTGCCTGGTACCAGCTAGTGCCCAGCACAAATTCCCAAATATGGATAAGGAATCAATTTTGAAAAAGGCTCACGCTGGCTGGGTACTCCCCGCTGAGACTCGGAAAAGGAGCGAGGCGGCACAAAAACGAGGTAAGTTCGCGAGATGCAAAGATACTGTTCGAGAATTTCTTCCGTGGGGAGCAACCAAGAATATTCTGTGCCTTAGAAGGACCGCGCGGCATTGCGCTGGTGAGGTTGGAGTTGGCTGCTGCGGTGACGGAGGCAACTGGTGAAACAGGGGACTGTTGTTTCAGGTGGGGACGTGAGCAACAGGAGCAGCTGGTCTGCGGCGTGAGTCAGATCCTGTTTCCCTGCAGATGCTCCTTGTTAATAAAGGTCTGTGCAAAGAGACGAGAGCTGCAACGCTCGTGCAGTTGTGTCGGGGAGAGGTAGGAGCTGCCCTAAGCAGAAGATCTGTATGAGTTGCAGTGTGGTTGTTTAAGAAGCCAAGGTGGAACAAGCAGCCTTGTAATAACGATAATTATAGGTAAAATTAATTTACCTGTAAGGCATGGTAACATGTTTTTGTACTTCACCCCTCTTCCTAGAGGGGACAGTGTGGTGCCTTGAAGGCCAAACCTCTAGCAGTTCTCAGACCCCAAATAACAGTGCTGTTACACAGTTACTATTTAACTTCAGGCCAGGGACAATTACCTATTTTACTGGCAATTGTCAACAAGTAAAAATGAAATCATTCCAAAATAGAATCATCTTAGTGGAGACGAGAGATGCTCTAGCTCCAGACTCGGGCACGCGCGAAGCCTTGGAGGTTGACGTGGCTGTGGCAGGGTGGTTTCCTGCCTCCGTTTCTGTCCCTGGCAGTCGGGCGTATTCCTCGTGCAGCGCCTGGACCCTCTTCTGCTGGGTGACGTCAAGCGCAGCTGGTCACCCTGATCCGTCATCCCGGCACCCTCCTCCCGCTGCGTGGGGCGATGGAGCAGCCGTACAGAGCCAGCACGGCACCCTGCTGCCACGTAGGAGGGGGAGCCCAGCCCTGGAGAGGAGCCCCAGGCCCTGTGGGCTGGTGAACCAAACTGTCACCCACTGACAAGTAAGAATGATGCTGGTTTTCCATCTTTCCTGAAATGTGAATGGCTTAAAATGCTTTTAAAGCTGAAAGAGTCACTCTTGTACCTGAATTAGGGGTGCATTAGGAGGAGTGTGGCCAGCAGGTCGAGGGAGGTTCTCCTCCCCCTCTACACTGCCCTAGTGAGGCCCCATCTGGAGTACTGCGTCCAGTTCTGGGCTCTTCAAGTAGCTTCACAGATTCTTTGATTCTTTTTGAAATATTTAAATATTGCTTTTGTATTGTGAGGATGTGAATTCTTAAATTTCCCTAGCAACTCTTTGCAAGAAGTTTTGGGACATGCCTCTTGTCAGGTGCATCTACCAGCTTAATGGCACTCCACGTTATGGCACATAACCAGAAGAGCTAGTTATTGTCTACAATGCACAAAAAGCACTTACCTTTATTTGCACTGCATGTAAGTGACCCTGCTTCAGCAGGGGGGTTGTACTAGATGACCCACAGAGGTCCGTTCCAACCCCGAACATTCAGTGATTCTGTAATTAGCCCACGCAGCAGGGCTGTGCTGCTACACAAGTGCTGGAGGAAATCAGCGCGTTCGCCTGTGCTCCTGAATAACAATTTCTAGTAACAAGAAAAACTAAAGTCAAACAAACTTGCTGTCAGTGACGGGTGGTGAGAGGGAGCATCACAGTGGATTTTGTGTCCTGGGTGGGATGTCGATGCCCAGCTCCTCACCCATTATCTGAAATCAGGGAATTTTTTGCTGCTGTCATCCCGATTTTCATTGGAAAAGAAAAGTGAGTTTCGAAAGGGCCTTGTTTATGTCTGCATCAGCTGTGGATTCCCAGGTTGCCCTCCTTCCTCTCCTGGCAGGCAGTTCAAGGAGAGTTTAGAGTTGCAGGCACCTGTAACAAGGCTTCCTGAGGTAAATCGCCTCAAGCACTAATCCAGATCTGACCAGCACACGGTCACAGGGCCAGAGGGCTGGCAGTCAGTTTTTTCTGTGGTCTCTTCTGTGTCAGTAGGCTGTTAATATCAGATTAGCAGCATTAGGGAGACTTTGAGCTAGAAACAGTGAGGCCCTATGGTTTGATTTGAAGAGAAAGAAACCCTCTTACACCCATATAAAAATAAACAGAAGAGCTGGAAATTATAAAGGGTGTTACAAACACAACAGAGGAAAGGATAGTTTCTAGGAAAGGTGTGGAGTTTTGTAGTACATCATAGCTTATCAGCAACTAATAAAGCAATGAGAGACCGCAGGTCCCAGCGTGCAGTGCTCTGTCCTTATCACCACGTGCTTTTGTTTGGGTCTGGCAAGACCATGATGTAGCGGAATCTGTAATTTCCTTGTAATTTCCATCAGCCGTACATCCCTATTAAATATGAAGATAGCTGGCTGCAGATCCCATCAATTAGCCCAGATTCAGGGCTCCCCGAGCTCCTGGCAGGCGGTCGTCAGAGCCCTCGTTTGGGTGAAGGTGAACGCTTTCCGGCCGTGCATTGAGCAGATGGCTGATCGTGATGCTCCGCTTTCTTGTCTCACCGAGCCTGGTGGCACAGAATCAAACCTATTTTGTTGTTTCAAAAATAGAACTCATAGAGGCAATTCACCTGATATTCGAGACCACCTGCTGATGTTCCTAGTTACTGCATTTAAAAGCAGTCACCTCCCATTTTGGCCACATGAAAACCTGTATAAACAACAGGCGAGGGTGGCAGAAGGCAGAGAAGGCACCCATGGGCGTAGTCACAGCCCCAGTTCAACTGGGGGTATCACATAACGTAAGAGTATGAGCAAATCCCCATTTTCACCTTCATCACAGACACACAAACACTGTGCAAGGTGCAAATGCTGGAAACTGGGAAACCGGAAACACAGAGATGTTTTCACAGCTTGTCGAAACTTGAGTTTAACCCAGCTAATGGCGAAAGCTTTCCGAAGCAAGCGGCGATTTTAAGTTGATTAAGCCTCTTTCTTTGCTCCATATCAAATAAAATACCAGCCTTGGCAAGGCAGCAGTCAAAGAATAACAGCTGTTACTTTTGATTTCATTGTTATTGTTATAATAGTAATAATTAGTGCTGGGTGGGGCATTTCGTAGCTTTAAGGTGACCAATTTGGTTGAAGGCCTAAGGCATCTTCTCTTCTGCAACCAGTTATTATCTGGTAGAAAATACTAAAGCCTGTCATCACTGTAGGTCAATTAAATCCTGTTTGCCTAGCACTGTGTCTCTTTGCTCGCTGATTTAGAGTTGCAAGCCCTTCTAATAGTTAATACTTCTTCTCAGAGCCCCGCCTGCCGAAATCAGTTGTCATCCATTAATCTCCCCTTCTCCTCGT